GTTAATACCTTAACAGAGCTCTGTAAACAAATTTTGGTTCGTGTCTTTGATAGTCATATTTAAATGTAACTTCACACCCTTACCTTCAACCAAAATATACAGCAGAATATTGGTCGCATGAAGGCAGTTGGCGCTTAGAAGAACTCTAATTTATAAAAAAATATAATATGTTCGTTATGCCAGGTTTTTTTAAGATTTAATCGACGTCAAAGAGTAATCTTCGTCTGGCTTGGTTCTCCGCTTTTGAGGCTCAGAAAAAGGAGAAATTGTTAAATCTTTTGACAATTGTTGCTTGCACTGCTTGATTAAACAAAAGCGATTATGTGAAGTTTGTATTCGTTTGTTGTTGTGGGGACCTCAAAAGACGGTGTGTCGACGTCTTCTGCTCGATAACCGAAAAATGCATAGACTACCAAAGTTAGTTGCTTTATGTAGCATTTAGTAGCGATTCTTCGTGGGATTCGGTGGTGATTGCGATTGTAAGCAAACTCGCGGACGAGCACCAAGTTTGTCGATAATGGTTCAGTTCAAGAGAGTGCTACGTAAAAGCAGGCGATAAGCCTCTCCTTTGTCAAGGGTAATACGATATGATGAGTGAATAGTAATCCCAGCGAGCGATGGATTAGCTGAGAGATGTTGGGTAGCGGATTTTATTTAGGCCGCGTTAGGCCTTTAAGTAGACAAGTACCTACATTAAATCGTAAGAAACACGCGCCGCGCGGAATGTACAAAAACATTTATAAATAATTTCCAGTCGTTTTAGCTGCCCTCCTACTATAGCGGGTACGGCAAAATAAAACATAAATAATGTGCATTGTTCAAGGCCTTCCTCTACGGCTGTGTATGCAAGAATAGTTGAAAACACTTTAAACATATGCAGCTGGATAAAACTGGAAGAAATACAACACTGTGCACTTGTAAATGCACGAACATTCTTGAAAAGGTTTTTAGTGTTTCGATACTAGCAAAACCGATACTTTACAGAACGTGTGAAGGGAAACAGTTTAATTCCTTTTTACCTTGTTTTACAAATGGCGCATGGATTTCAGTCAGTTTGTTCAAAGGGGCTCTAGCGAGAGGTATGCGAATGTTTCATTTGCTAAATCGCTTAACTCCACTTTCTGTTTTCTTTTTATGTTTAATGTCAAAACACTCGATGATTGAGTCCTAGCTGTATAAATTCAAAACAAATTTTTCTGATAATAAAGAAGTGAAAAACCTGCTTTAATCATTGAATAATAACTAATTTATTTGAGGAACCAATTTGTAGTCTAATAAAAATCGTAATAAAAACATAATCAATCGTACTTTAAAGTCTATTTGGTCGGCTAGACATTTTAACAAGGTTTTTAAAGTGAAATACACATGAAATTAGTTTTCTTTTCAATATTGGAAACACAATTTTATCACAATCTTCTATTTTTAGTTTTTTAGCGAGCCGATAGCCTGTGTTGCTAGTGCTCAATGTATTTTTTTTAGTCTAAGAATTTATTTTATTAGTCTAAAATTAAAATAATAATAATAGTTTTCTAGCATTACCGGATTTGGCAAAAGAGGCGTTCGTATGTGATTCATTAAAGAAAAAATGACAAATATCATATTGTGCGCTATCATGAACAAGCCACCGCATAAAATTATCAATGTGTCGAAGCACTTCACCTATTAAAAAGCAGTGAGAAGTAAGCCAATTAATGTAAAATATGTTTTTTTTTTGTTTTGCTCTGTGAGCTGGAGGTAGAAAATCTTCGAAAGATACTGCTGGGTCTTAGTAGCAGCATGCACGATTCGCCATCCCTGGCGCATACGTACTAAAAACTACCCCCCACACACACACTTCGTCTACCGCTCTCCCCCGCGGGACCACCGTTAGGTATTACTTCGCGGGGGCTGGTTGTCGATAGCACGCTCCTGATGGTGGGACCTCAGTGGAATGCACTATCGGCTTTCAATCCCTCTGCTCTCCACCCGTTGCCTCTCCAATCGCCGCAACTCCACGAGAGTATTGCTGGCGAATGCGTCTACGGCGTTCCAGGCTGCTGGACTGCCAACCATTGCGCTTGTTATCTCGTTAGGTGGCACTTGAGGCCGCCCATTCTCGAACCTGCTGCAGTAGAACATTACGTGTTCTCCGTCCTCCTCCATATCCTCACATACCGGGCAGTTAGGCGAACTGTCGTTCCCGAATCTGTGTAGATATTTCCGGAAACAGCCATGGCCAGTCAGAAGCTGTCGACCTAACGTCTTATGTTAGGGATAAGAACGAACGTCCACCTTCCTTTGGTCGTTCTTTCCCACCTCTATTGCCAAATCCTTAGCGAGACCATCCGTTCCCCGCCTCTTATAACTAGCGAGGAGAGATCGTTGCCGCGACGCCGTTGGTAGATGCGGCTCATCTCATCGGCCAGGATGTCGACTGGCAGATTGCCAGCCAGCACTAGCGCCGCCTCCTCCGACACGGTTCGGAATGCGCAAATCTGCCTCAGGGCGCTGAGGCGATATATCGCCGCCAATTTTCGGAGTGCCGCCTTTACAGTCAATGCACCCGCCCATACTGGGCTCGCGTACATAATGATTGACGTCACCACAGTGGCTATGACCTTTCTTCTAGCTGCTTTCACACCCCCCACGTTTGGAATAATCCTTGCCAATGCCGTCTGGATGCCTGCCGCTTTCGTCGCCACGTAGTCGATGTGCCGCCTGAAGTTGAGGCGGTGATCAATTATCACTCTTTAGCTTGATATTTTATACTGTTCTGTGCCGTTGTCGCTTTCATACACCAACGTACGGTTCGACAAGTAACTCGTTATGGTGTCCAATAGATACCTTGGGACCCGCGTTCTTATAAGGGCCCTGCGGACAGCTCCCCAATCCGCCGAGTTAAAAGCGTTTTTAACGTCCAGTGTAATCAGGGCACAGTATTTCTTGTCGCCCCCTTTCCATCTATCCCCGGCTATGGCGTCGGACGCCAGCCTCACTACGTGATTTATGGCGTCTATTGTCGACCGCGCCCTTCTGAAGCCGTGCTGGTTATCAGATAGCGCACCGTTTTCTTCGGCTACTCTCAGCAGACGCTCGTACACTACTGACTCCAGCAGCTTGCCCATCGTATCCAGGAGACAGATAGGCCTGTACGACGACGGGTCAGCCGTCGACTTGTTACCTTTCGGGATCAGCACCAGTCTCTGCACTTTCCATTTCTCCGGGAAGACTCTTTCTCTGAGGCACTGTTGCATAAGCTAAGCAAATTTCTCAGGCCTTATCCTAATCGCCGCCTTCAGTGCTTCCATCTTGACCTGGGGCCTTTTTGTCGCCAATTCTTTTGCCGGCCGCAAGCACGTCCTCCGTGGTAACAACAGGGGGTGGCTCCTGCTCCCTTCCGAAGAAGTCCACCACTAGGTACGGCAGTTTATGTGGGAAAAGTGTTGTCACAATTCTACTCAGCATGACAGGGCACGTGACATGTGGCCGGCCGTGCCCTTTAAGTCTCTTGAGGACCACCTTATACGCGGTTCCCCATGGGTTGACATCAGCCTCTCTGCAGAGAGCCTCAAAACGGCTTCTCTTGCTGCGCCTAATGGCTTTCTTTAGGTCCCCGCGCAGGCATTTGTAGGCGTGGACCCGACTGTCGAAGCCTGGCTTCCCCCTTGATCGCTGCACTAAACTTCTGGCCTTAAGGCACTCCTTCCTAGCCGAGCTTATTTCTGCGTTCCACCAGTAGCACGGGACGCCTTTTTTGCACGTTCTTCTCCTAGGCATGGAGGCGTCGCATGCTTCGTTTATAGCGGTATACACTTCGCGTACGAGCAGCTCCGCTGTATCACCATTTATGGCTTGGGAAGAGAATGTCAGCCTAAAAGTTTCTTCGTCAAACGACGTGTCGTTCCATTTCGGACCCCTTTGAGTCCGGCCTATATCTCCTCTGCCTCGCCGAGCCTCAACCTCCATAAAGATGGCTTGGTGGTCGCTGCCCGAGTAGCCTTCACTGAGCGTCCACTTGCACTTTGGCACCAGACTATCACTCACGAAAGTGATATCGATCATTGATCCAAAGCCTGCCTTTCTGAACGTGTGTTTTTGTCCGTCATTCATCAGAGCCAGTGGTAGCATTGCAAACGCCTCCAATAGGGCACGGCCTCTAGCATTGGTGATTCTACTGCCCCATTCCACCGCCCAGGCGTTAAAGTCCCCCGCAGTTATGACCAGTGATTTGTTGCGGGCATCCGCCACTAGATCATCTAGCATGTACAGGAACTCTTCCTGCATCCAGCTTGGGGGTGCATAGCAGCTATAGCAATGTATGTCCCGAGCTCTCGCTCTCGCGAAGCCATTGTGCTGGGCGCTTTCATCCAGGAGTGCAAAATTCGGTGACCAGATTGCTGCTTTCCCTGCTGCATCGGCAACCCATCCGCCACGGTTCATGCTTCTGAATGGCTCGCTGATCAACACCAGGTCTATCTTCTCTTCTATGACCGTCTTTCTGAGCAGATCATGAGCTGCCTCGCCGTGATTGAGATTAATTTGCATAATTCTCATCTGCGTCCTCTAGCAGCTAAAGCTCGTTTGAATAACAGGCACTTACTGCTCCCTGCTACGTGTTTAGCGTCAGCACTTGGTACGCCTTTACAAGAAAAGCACAGGGGATCTTTTGAGCACACTTTTGCGATGTGCCCTTCCTCTCCGCATCGTCGGCAAACCTTTGATCGGTCGCATATCCCTTTACAATGCTTGGCAATGTGTCCGAATTCCAAGCAGCGGTAACACTTCACCAGTGCTCTGTGCTCCCTTAGTCGGCACACCATCCAGCCTACTCTTAATTTACCACCAGCTAGCAGCTTGTTGGCCTCCTCTTGCGACAGGCTGATTATTGCCGTTTGCGTGCCACCGTAGGCCTTTCTCAGGCTAACTATCTCTGCGTTTGCCAGCCCATATTGACTCTTTATGGCCTCGCAGATGTCCTCCCTTGAGGTGATTTCGTCGACATCCCTGCATTCGACTGTACCGCGTTGCTTCAGGCTTCTAACTGCCGCCTGGTCACCTAGTAGGGAGCTCACTGCATTCTTCAGCTCTTCCGTTTTCTCCCCGTTTTTGTCCAGTTGCAGCAGTAGAACGCCTTCCTGTGTCCTCCTGATTTTGTGGACCACTTCACCTAGCTGCTTCAGTTTGGGATCGCCTTTGACCTTACGCAGCATTTCAGAGTAGGAGAGCTTGCCGGTCGCATATGTGCATGTATTCATATGCAAGGAAGGCGTAAATGAAGCTTTAAATCAAGTTCGTAATCGTAATCACAACTTCGCCAAAAAGCCCTGAAGACAGACAATCGATCTGACGATTTTATTTCTCTTTAATTCAAATTGACTACGGTACATATATTATTGAAAAAGTGAGATAAGATATGAATTACAAAAAAATATTAGTAATGAACAAGTGGGAACGATATATTTACAGAATGAAGATTGGATTCCTAAGGAGGATGCTGTACAAAAGTGGAAAAATTGTCCGTCCTATCCAAAAATATAGTATATCAAAAAGAAACTTTTTCAATACCTTTATAACGCACAAAAACATACTCCAAAAGCCCCATAAAGTACATTAATTCTTAACCAGTTTCAAATTTGGGATGCACCCAAGAATGTCCGTCTGTTCGGTTGTCCATATGTCCGTCTGTCCTACTGTATAGTAGCTGTGGTAAATTTTCTCCCCTTCACAAAAATGGGGATGTCGGCTACAAATTTGCAAGAAAGTGACCTCAACTTTTCACAGAAGACGCCCATAACGCCCACGCACCTATACGACAGAGACGTTTATTTCGAAAATTAAAAA